GCAGGAACAGAGTGAAGATTTAAACACACACACACACACACACACACACACACACACACACACACAAACCATTTTTAAAAAAAGCCCTGGCCTGTGGTTGGAGCATTGTCCCATATACCAAAAGTTGAGGGTTTGATTCCCAGTCAGGGCACATACCTAGGTTGTGGATTCCATCCCAGATCAGGGCTCATATGGGAGGCAATTGGTCAATGTTTTTCTCTCACATCCATCTCTCTCTCTCTCTCTCTCTCTCTCTCTCTCTCTCTCTCTTCCTCTCTCTCTCTCTCTCTCTTCCTCTCTCTTTCTCTAAAAATCAATAAAACCATGTCCTTGAGTGAGGATTTTTTTTTAAACTACTTACCCTCAATTCCAACAACCTTAGCACCCAGATAAGGAGGCAGACTATACCCAAAAGAACAGGGCAAAGAACTGGGCACAGAAAGGGCATGGAACACAAGGGAGCAAAGGCTCAGTGTAATAAACAGTAATTGACCGCTTAAAACCAGACCACACCTTACCCCACCTCATCCAACCCTTCCACACTACCCCTTGTCTTGGTTAATTCACTCTGCGTATTACCAAAAACATTCTTTACCCTGGATATGGAGTAAGGAATTGTTTTGTTTTTACACAGGTAGTAAACTACCACTTCAGGAAAGGGGAAAGAAGAAATAGGGCATGTGAAAAAGAAAAATCAAATTGGGACACTGTGGGTCACATAAGCCAGACAGATGTTTCCCACCCCATTCTCTGCCCATCCATGCAGTGTGCTAGTTGCCATTCGGTTGAAAGCCTGAAGAAAAAAGTACTTCCAAATCCCTACAGTTTCTTTCTTTATATCCTCCTGTTATATGGACTGTTATGAACATCTGATGAAGCCCTAACCCTCTAACCCCAATGTGACTGTATTTGGGGATAGGGCCCTTTAAAAAGTAATTAAAGTTAGCCCTGGCTAGTGTGGCTCAGTTGGTTGAGCATTGTACTGTGCACCAAAAGGTTGCCAGTTTGATCCCTGGTCAGGGCACATACCCAGGTTTCAGGTTCAATCCCCGGTTTGGTTTGTACAGAAGGCAACTAATCCATTTGTCTCTCACACTGATGTTTCTCTCTCCATCTCCTTTCTCTCTAAAATCAATAAAAACTTATTTTAAAATTTTTTTAAAAGTACAGAATTAATGTAAAGGAGGTCCTAAGGAGCCCTTCATTATATTTTTAAAGTTTTCTCTGACTACTCTGACTAGAAGTGATTTCTTCTTTCCCTGAATTCATATTATACTGTTTAATTGATTAGTTATGAAGCATGTGTTGTATCATGAATTTCTAGTACAGTGGGGCCTTGACTTACGAGTGTCCCGACTAACGAGTTTTTTGAGATACCAGCTGTCTCTCAGCCGATTTTTTGCATTGAGTTGATAAGAGTAATTTGAGTTAACGAGCTCCTTAACGAGCTCAGTCTCAGAACAAATTAAACTCGTAAGTCAAGGCCCCACTGTATTGATTTTTTTCTTTAACTTCAGAAATGCTATTCCTTCTTTTTTTTTTAAAAAAAAATATTTTTATTGATTTCAGAGAGGAAGAGAGAGATAGAAACATCAATGGTGAGAGGGAATCATTGAGTGGCTGACTTCTGCACGTTGGACTGAGCCTGCCCTTGACCCGAGTCAAACCTGGGACCCTTAATCCGCAGGCTGATGCTCTATCCACTGAGCCAAACTGGCTAGGGCTAGTTTTGAGGCTTTTCATGCCTAGGAGAGAGGCCTGCTGACACCTTGATCTTGAACTTCAAGCCTCCAAAACTGTGAGAAAATAAATTTCTGTTGTTTAAGCCACCCAGTCTATGATACCTTATTATGGCAACCTTAGCAAACTAATACACCTCCGTAGCCTGATTTTTCTCAATCTAAGTGAGAAGACCCCACCCCATAAATATCTAGTACCAGGGGTATTATTGAAATGATTTTCCTATATAATACAGGTACTACTAACCAATAAAAACCCATGCCAGCCTTTAGCAACTGATGTCAGCTGTGCTAGAGTCCCACGCTGAATATTCAACCTGCTTGGTACTACCGCTGACAATATTGGTTGGTACATAAATTGACTTCAAGATGGGGCTCAAGTGCCTTAACTGGTTTGGCTCAATGGATAGAGCATTGGTCCCCTACTGAAGGGTTCTGGGTTTGATTCCAGTCAAGGGCATGTACCTTGGTTGTGGCTAGATCCCCAGTAGGAGGGTGTAAGAGGAAGCTGATCAATGTTTCTCTCTCATTGATGTTTCTGACTCTCCATATCTCTCCCTTCCTCTTCGTAAAATCAATAAAAATATATTTTAAGAAAGGATGGAGCTCAAGTTAATTAATTGATTGATAGCCAGTTATCGAGCAATTTCTATGTGCCAGGTATTGAGCATAAAAAGGGCTCCTTATATATATATATATATTTTTAAAAAGGGCTTCAGTCTGAATACCATGCATTCTACCACCTCTGTGTTTCTATCCTTTTCAATCTTCTTAGCAGATGATGTGAATGCAAAAGCATTAAACAATAGTCATAATACCTAGGCTTTTAGCCCCATTTCAATCTCTCTCAGCTTAAGTGACTAGCTCACAGAGCTTCAGTTTCCACATTTGTAAAATAAAAATAGTCTTGCCTTCCCTGTCCATCTCCTAGGGGCATTTGAACCTACTTTAATATGTTGTATTAAATTTCTTGGGTTGACATTGGTTAGTAGGATCATATAGGTTTCAAATGTACATTTCTATGATACATGATATATTACAGTGTGTTCCTACCACCCAAAGTCAAATCATCTTCCATCACCATATGTGGGGGGCTGTTTCTCTCTTTTCCATGTCCCGCATGGAAAAGGAAACAGTCCATTTGCTGAGTGGAGGAGCTGGGGATTAAGAAATTAAAGAAAGACCAAGACGCAGAAATAGATTTTAAGCTGGGGCCAGGTGGGCGCCATCCTCTCTGATGGAGAGGCGGCAAAAGGCGGGCTGAGCCACACAGCAGGTTTATTTTAAAGGCCTAGATTTACCTATCTAGTTCCGCCCCTGCCTGATTAACATGTCCAGCCTTCTTGGGGAACCATGTTCCCAGGGCGTGGCTCTGCCTATGCTCTGAATTCAGCTGACAGTAATTATAAGAAAATGCCTAGGTGCCTCCCAGGCTGCCCTCTACAACCATATATTCGGCCCCCTTTACCCTTTACTACATCCCCACTCTCTTCTCTTTGGTAATCACCATATGTACCATGTCCATGAGTTTATTTTATTTTTAAAAATATATTTTTATTGACTTCAGAGAGGAGGGAGAGGGAGAGATAGAAACATCAATGATGAGAGAAAATCATTGATTGGCTGCCTCCTGCATGCCCCCTTGTGGGGATCAAGCCCGAAATCCAAGCATATGCCCTGTCGGGAAATCAAACATGTGACCTAGTTCATAGGTTGACCTCAACCACTGAGCCACGCCTGCTGCATGAGTTTCAGTTTTATATCCCGTGTATAAATGAAATCATGGTTCTTGGCTTTTCCTGATTGATTTATTTTGCTTAGCATAATATTCTCAAGGTCCATCCATGTTGTTGTAAATGGCAGTATTTGCAAATGGCAGTATCATAAGGGGATTTGAAATGAGTATGAATATAAAAGTGCTTTATTAACTATGATCAAAGTACAGATATTATCTTTACTTTTTGCATTTCTCTGCCAATTGACCTACTCAAGATAGAACTCAAATCCAAGTTATCCATGAACAATAATATAATCTTTCATTGTATTCATTATATTCTTATTTATTTTTT